CCTCAGCCTACTCAAGCTCAACTGATGAGGGGTGAATTCCCCGAAACACTGTGTATTGAGCAGGGAGTGGTGCTTTCTTACAGGTTTGCCGAGCGGAAGGTGCGACGTGCTCCTCGTGTGCTCCGGATGGCAGTCGTGAGTCAGTCAAGTGTCAAGTTCGGCAAGAAGCGTGTACTCCTCCTGGTGATGGTTTGGCCTGGAGAGCAGTATATATGTGGTGCTTTTCAGGCACAATCTTCCTCAGCCTACTCAAGCTCAACTGATGAGGGGTGAATTCCCCGAAACACTGGGTATTGAGCAGAGAGTGGTGCTTTCTTACAGGTTTGCCGAGCGGAAGGTGCGACGTGCTCCTCGTGTGCTCCGGATGGCAGTCGTGAGTCAGTCAAGTGTCAAGTTTGGCAAGAAGCGTGTACTCCTCGTTGGAGCAACCAACTTCATGCTTACTAGTTTGTTTTTACAAAAGAGAAAAGACCAAGGAACTACAAGTTACGCTATACTGTCCACTAACACCACCAGTTACTAAACAATCAGCTCATGTGATAGCATTGCATGACACTGAACAGCTCTAGTCCAACAGCCTTGTGGACGACGACCGTCACTGGAGAATCGGTCCGTCGCTCCACCAGCCCGGCGGCACAGTGGACAGTGCCTTGGGGGTGTCAGGCATGGATCAGGCTGATAAGGACGTGGTGGAGACGGAAATGATGTTTGCAAGGAAGAGTGATGATACGCGTATGTGCTCTCCGCCAGTTGTTGAAGCAACAGTCCGGCAGTGGAAAGTCGGCAAGGTTAAAATAAGTGACCAACTGGGTGAAAGTACACCAAATGTGGCCCATCTCTTGAATGGTGCGGACCACGGCAAGGACCTGAAGTTGAAGGTCGTCAATGGCAACACCGCATGGTCGACGTCAATGGGAACATCAAGCCATCAAGTTGGTGGAACTATGGAATGTCCGTCGCAGGCTGCAGCGACAGGGTAACGTGCTCAGGGAAGAGTACAGCGACGATGATCAGCTGTGTCTTGCACGCAGTTGTGTTGATCGTGGCGTGCAGAACAACAGAGTCAGTTGCGGTATTCGTACATTTGTCCGTTTAGGATTGTGATCCCCAGGAAGTCCTTTGGTGAGGAGTGATGTCACGCAACGAGCAGTAGTCAAAGTGAAAGGACTTCTTGCATGTGATTTTGTTGTAATTTTGTAAGGTGTGGTGGCAGAACTTTCAGCTGGTAGTGGGTGATGGGCTGGCTGTGTGACAACAATTACGGGCTTGACGAACGACATAATTATGGCGAGTCGATCTTTGGCCAGTTGCTGAGTTGGAGATCGTCACCGTAGACCCAGAGATCTGGTCCACGGTCCAGGGGTTGGGATCCCACTGTGGTGAGAGCTTGTGTGCCTGCTCATTGCGGCGTAAGACGCGCTGACCAGGAGTGAGGATGGGGGCGTTTGACCGGCGGGTGGCATTGGCAGCGTCGCACTGGGATTGGCGGAATTGCTGGTCACGGTGGGCAGCTGAAGGCAAGTCTGGTGCGGCTGCCGTAATGCAGGGTATGCTGTCGGGGATGGGGCGACCAAACATGAGTGTTGCCGGTGCCTCGTGAGTGGCAGGGTGTGGCGTGGTGCGGTACGCTAGGAGCCATTGGTCAAATGCAACATTGATGTCTTCGCCAGCTAGTTTGGCAGTTCGCAGAACTTTGCCAATGGTACGGTTGAGGCACTCGACTGCTCCGTTTGCTTGTGGCCACAAAGGAGGGGTGTGGCGGTGCTGGATAGCGTGTTGCGCGAGGAAATCAGCAAAAGCCGAAGAACGGAACTGAGGACTGTTGTCCGAGACTAGCTCTTCGGGCAAGCCGAACATGGATAATGTAGAGCGCAGAGCTTTAACAACACCGGCCGTAGTGGGTGTCGTGCTGAACACGTTGATGACCGGGTAGCGAGTCAACTGGTCGATAGTGGCAATCAGGTGCTGACCGTTTGGCATGGGTCCATACAAATCGACGAAGACTCGTTGCCACGGCTTGGTGGACGGTGGTGTGGGCACGGACTCCCGGACGTAGCGGTGTCGTTGAGAGAGTTGCTTGGCACGGAATACATTGCCGGCAGAGTGCTTCGGCTTCAGTAGCCATGTTGGGCCACCCAACATTGCTGTTGAGCCGTTGCTTGGTGCGGACAATATCTTGGTGGCCCGCATGTGTAAGCTGCAGGGTAAGCCGTTGGAGGGCCGTGGGAATGACGAGACGGTCGTTGCGGAGTAGTAGACCGTCACTCTCAGACAGTTCATGGCGGAGGGCAAAGTACGGGCGGACCGTGGTGTGGCTGGAATCCCAGCGGCCAGATTGCAGAGAGGAAAGGATGGCTTGCAGTGTGGTGTCTGCGGTGGTGGCGTCCGCAATCTCCTTCAGAGCCAACGCATTCGGCTTAGCTGCTGTAGCTAGGGCATGTATGTACGCAGTGTCTTCCTGTGCGCCGATGTTTGGCAAGTCGGGATGAGGCTGCGGATTGCGACTGACGACGTCGGCCGGGTTTTCTGGGCCAGGCTTGTACTGGAGCTGGAAGCTGAGATCCTGCAGGCGGAGGACCATGCGCTCAATTCATGGTGGAGGTCTCGATCCGACGGCCTTGAGTTGCAGGAGCGGCTTGTGGTCGGTGACAACGGTGAACTGTGGATCACCTTGTCAAGTCGTGGTGAAAGCGAAGGCAGCCAAACTTGACACCCAATGCTTCCCGTTCAGTTTGAGAATATTGCTGCTCGACGCCGGAGAGTGCACGGCTGGCGAATGCTACAGGTGCATCGTGGCCGTTGTCTTGGCGTTGACACAGGATTGCGCCGAGGCCGGTGGGCGATGCGTCGACATACAGTGATGTGTTGCGGTCAAAGTATTGCAGCATGCAGTCTTCGGCGATGGCCTTCTTCAGTGCATCAAATGATTGTTGCTCAACATCAGTTCAACGCCAAACAGTACCTTTCTTAGTGAGAGCAGGGAGTGGCGTGGTGAGATCAGCCATGTTACGAATGTAACGGCGGAGGAAGTTGGTGAGACCCAGGAAACTCTGTATGTCGCTGACGCAAGATGGCGTAGAGAATGTTGCCACAGACTGCTGGTGGCTGGGAGAGGCGCGGATGCCCTTGTCGGAGTAGACGCTAGCCATGAACTTGAGCCGAGGCTTGAGGATGTGACATTTGTGACATTTGGCTCGGTTGAGTGTAACGTTGTGATCTTGGAGCCGCTGGAGGCAGGCGGCGAGTCGTCGGTTGTGCTCTTCGACGCTCTTACCAAAGTTGAAGATGTTGTCGTGGACGTTCTTCACACCGTCGAGGCCAGCGAGCCATGGCGTCCAGTGTGCGCTGTAGGATCTCGGATGCGGACGATACGCCCATGGGCAGACGTTTACAGTGCAAAACTGCGTAGCGACGTGACTCAGGGTGGCCTGGCTCTCCACAGCGGTAGCAGAGCGATGTGCTGGATTCCCGCCGGCCTGGAGCGCGAGTGGCGACTGGGGCAGGTGGCTGGTGGTACGAGTTTGCAGCTGGATGTGGCGAAGACTGCATCGGTCGACGCGACGGAGTTGAAACAGTAGCAGGAGGCGGCTGTGTCCTTTTGTAGAACGGTGGCTGATGACGGAGGGCATTGATCGAGTCTTGTGTGCGCCGGAACGCCGTCGTCTGTTTCACTGACGCTTCAAATGCTCTGGCGGCCTTGAGCGCCTTGGCGAGATCAAGGGACGCAGTCTCCAGCAGTTTTCTGCGGAGTGGATCGGACGTGCATCCTGCCACAATTTGATTACAGAGAGCCACGTTCTTCTGGGCATCGTCGGCGAAGCTGCAGGTCGTTGCCGATGCCAGCAAACGAGTATAAAACGTGTCTAACGTTTCGCCAGGCTGCTGGGTGACCTGCCGGAAGTGGAAGCGGGCCATGCTGGGGCTCTGCTTCGACTGAAAGTAGTCGGCGGCGGCGGTTATGAGGCCGTCGAGATCGTTGCCAGTGTTGGCTAACGTAGGGACGAGCTGCTGGATGTCCGTGAGGACACTCCCGGCGAAAGAGAGTAGACAGGCAGTGGAGAGGAGCAATCAGAGGTAGCTGACGATGCTGATGTCGTCAAAGACGCCTGCGAAGCCATGCCAAGATAAGAAACCTCTTTGAATAAATCACGCGCTAGCGCTCTTCCACAAGAAAATTCATCCGAAAAATATGTTCGGCAAAGTGAGCTTTTTCCGAACAAACATGCCGCATCTTCGTGTGCATTTTTCGACCTCGCTCCCGCTTGCCGAATCTTTTGCCGAATTTTGGAATGCAAAACCTCACTAATATGATGCCAACAGAATGTAATGGTGTGCGTGCATGCGTACAGAGTCGGTGCGTACCGACTGTCAGCACAGGTGTGGAAAGCAGCATATGTAAATGGATAGGAGCACAAACGGTGCCGCGTGCATATATGTGTCGGTAGAGCATGAGACTCTTAATCTCAGGGTCGTGGGTTTGAGCCCCACGTTGGGCGCCAAATGTCGTCTCAGTTGGAGAACGAGCTGCCTCTACTATACCCTCGCCACGCCACACATCAAACGGACTAGTCAAGTGGTTTTTCTCTAGAGCTAGAGAGAGAGCTATTCATTACTACACTTCAGGAGACGACGGGAGAACTGACAACTGACATGGCGAAAGGAAACATGATATCGGAAAGTGGTGCCCTCATCAGCACAAAAAGTGGCGTACTCGATATCATATCAGCACAAAAAAGGTGCACGTGTCAGCAATACAACAAAGCAGCGCAGCAGCATGTACGGGTCAGCATCACAGAGACACAAATACAGCAGCAGGTACTACAAAGAGACAACACGTGCAGCCACATGTACAACATATGGGTGTGACAGTCCATATATGTACGTGTGAACACTACACACGATGAGAACATGCAAAGTATGGAGACCCAGACTGTGTGGTCAGCAGAACACAGCCCGTACAGGATGAAACAGACAACTTAACGTAATATAGCACCACGTACCGGCGGACTAGTCGACGCTGATGGGAGAAGTGGCACCCCCTGAGGCAGCTACGGATGCTAGAACTCTACAGCCAGACCAACACCAATATAAAACAAAAAGGTACACCACACCAGGAAGCAAGTCAAATAAAGATGTGTGAACAACAGCCACACACCACAGAAAAGCATACAGAACAAAGACTCAATTACCGACACCATAGACACTGCAAAATCCAAACAGGAGGAAAATACTAACTCCCTGAGGACACTGAGCATGAGGCAAACGCGCAAGCAACCTCTTGCCGATGTTCCACCGTGTAACAACAACCGCGCTGGCCACCGGACTGTATGGTAGGGGTATTACACCTGGACCTCAAGACCAACGGGCGAAGGACAGCAGACCGGGCCCAGGTAAATACAATGAGGAGCACTGTATACAACTACAGAAATAACCCAAACCCATGCCAATTTGACCAACATACCTTCCCTGCGCATCCATTCCTAGTGTACGGGTCTGAAAGATGAAAGATGGAGCGCTTGTATACACGGGCCCGGAAAGCCTGCTTCGGCCGCTCGGCAGCAGCTTCGTAGTGGTGGTCAAGGGTCGAAGACCGACGGATACGGATCAACTCCCCAGTGAACACACCTTTGCCCATACTACAGGGGTGGTTACTACCGACAAGCAGATACAGGAAACGATTGGTGAACTTGAAATGAGGCCATGTATCTCTTACTACGGAAAACTGTGGTGTCCAGGAAATCAATGCCATCATGTGCCAGTTCATGAGAAAACTTGAGGGCCGAACACTTATTAATCCTATCTAAAGTGCGCTGAACTTGACCTTCGCAACCATGCAATGATAAAGCGTCTATAAACCTGAACCTCTAAACCCTCCCCCTCTAAGATCGGCAAAACGTACTGCTTCTCCAAATACAGCATAACAATGTCGGCATAGACCACTGCTGCAGGCGAACCCATGGCAGTCCCTTGGATCTGCCGAAACACATCGTTACCATACACAAACTCATTTTTCTTCCGAATGACTGACATCAAGGAAGTCACTGCTGTTAATAACCATGTACGAAGGGCGAGGGGCATCCACCTTGTACACCTGTGTGTGATATACCACGACAACCGGGCTCGTTGGGGATATTGGTGTAGTAAAGGCTGGTCACATCTATACTCAATTATAAATGATCGTCCCGCACAGGCAAACCTTCTACCAAGTTGATGAAATCCGCAGTTGAGGTCAGAACAGTACTTTCCTCACATACATACGGGTTCAGTAGAAAGTCAGTGAACTCAGCAGGATAGTAGCCAGGACTATTTAGATTAACAATAGGCCTAACCTTCAGGACCCAGGGCTTATGTGTTTTGAGAAGTCTCCTGAAAACGGGCATGCGCCACCGGTGCGACTAAGAACAGTGACATAATATAATTATTATATTAGTGGGCATACGATGCTCAATGCGATGCCTAGTCATGGTGAGTAAACAATTGACTCGGGTCGCTCACACGAAGTCTCAACACAGCCTTGAGCCTGTTGGTTGCCATCGGCAGTCTAGCCGCATGCTCATCTAGCCCCTCAGGCAAAAAAAACAGTCATTTATAATGTTTGGCATTGTGATGCTGGGCACGACCTATATCATCATAGTGAGATCAGTCCAGGACTACTATCACAATAGACTGCCTTTGAATATGCCTGAGTCCGATCGCGTTCTAGCTCCCAAACTATGCGCTGCATGTGTACACTCCGCCTATGGTTAGTCTACTCCAGAACAACGCCTGGAGAGGTTCATTGGGGGCATGATGTCCCCCCACCCCATTCCCCCCTTGCCCCTGCACCTGAAGTACCGGTATTGCCCCCCCCCCCCCCCTCCCCAAACAAATTACAGGACACAGATGGAGCACTGGGGAGCACGTAGCAGTAGGCAAAGTTGACGATGCCAGTGCAGACACGCCTGATCTCGGTCACCACACTGGCACCGTATAGTCTCCAAGGGACATAGCTACCAGAGAACACACAGAATGGGAGTATATAGTGCTATCTCGGTGGATAGACAACCCCCTATACACAAAATATCTACTGATAGAGTTCTGTGTAGACTCTATGTGCACATATGTGTGGATGAGTACTGGTAAACGGGCAGCTAACCCTAGTCTAAGTAAAATAAAGGTAGAATGTAGACCCTGGGCAAAAAAATAAGTAAATAAAAATATTGACTAGTTTGAGGGAAAGACACAAACGGGAAAAGTCTGAAGAATTGACTGTCACCAAAAAAATAATAATAGCTACACACACGAGGGAACTCAGATGGAGAGCCAAGGATTAAAATTGAAAAAGAGGACCATCAGTTTACGAGTTATCCGTTTTGTCCAACACTAACGGATATAAACGTGATGCAGCTAAGCATCAGGTCGTTGAATGCCAGGATCTCATCAGTCAGTTTTTGTGCTAATTGATGCACATTTTTGACTCAGCAGTATTCTGCATATAACCGTTAGTGTTGGACAAAACGGATAACTTGTAAACATGAGGGAACACTCATCCTTACCCAAGTCCCAACGTCAGCACTCGGCGCTGCTCCGAACCAAGAGGGACACTGGAGAGATCGTCCATCAGCTCCTCTCTTGTCCTGCGATCAAATCGCCTAATGCTAAACACAAGAAGATAGGAAAGGCAAGTAGAATAAATAAATCAATAAAATAATAAACAACAAAACAAGTTTGAACAGCTGCAAACGTAATGGACGATTCGAACAAGACCAATGATATACCTAGCAATAAGTGTGCAGAGTGTGCAGCCCAAGGATAATCATCCCACAGCAAAGTTTATTGTTTAGGGCATAGACTCACAGTAACAAGCTCACCTTTGCTGCATCTCACACCGCTTCACACGGTAATCTACTGTATCACCATGGTAATTTCTGTTGCACATTGCTGCTTGTTTAACAAAAGGCAGAAAACACACCGAATTTCCAGGAATTACCATGGTGATACGGTACTTTAGCTTGAACCTATCGTATGACGGGTTTTCTATGTACATGTACATGTATGAACGTACTCGCACTGGGCACTCTGGCCGCACGCATCTGCACGCGTATGCAGCCTGTCAGTGGCGGTATACCCTCGAACGGTATAAAAAAGTATAGTACTCGACAGGACTTCCGACCGGGTCGCAGGTAACCCAGTGTTCTTTTTCCAAAAGGTCCAAGTACTCACAAACAGGGTCACTGACCTGGCTCTGGAGCAGACACTGGTAATCTAGGTCCAAGTTTGCTCGATTATGTTCTGATGCTTCATGTGCTTTCATAGCCAAGGTTTCTCACTTTCTTCGCAAGCTCTTTTAGTCTTGAGAGTTGACAACTGCTTATGGTTGTGTTGGCAGAAAACATATCAGCTAATCTGACAACCGTCCAACCCCATTTTACTGGTAAGTAGTCAGCGAGTGGCTTTGATGGGGCCATACAGTACTAGAGGGGAAGTTACGCGGCATATTTGTGCTTCCTTTTTGAAAACACGTTCTCGATCGAAGGGTTTCTAAACTTTATCCCTGCGCTCATTGATGGAGTTCATCGATGGAGTTGCCAGCGGCACTCTACAGAAGAACAATGTTGTCAAGTTTTTTTATGAAAAATTGTCAAACATTTTCAAATTGCTATAAGTTTGGTTAGGGCCGGGTTCCACTGCGGCTCCGCAGCTCCGCTGCTCCACGGTACTTGGCTGCATGCAGCAGAGCGGCGCGGTTCCAGTGACACTCGCCATTCACGGTACCGCGATCGTGCTCGACGTTTTTTGATGACATTTAGCCTGCCTGCGCGCGCGTGAAATCCAAAAAAATACTCGTGTTCTGGCCTGTGCAACGAATTAAAATTCCCCCGAATAAAACAATTAAGTGCGGGAAACAATGCAAGCCGTGACCGCGGCTTGCATTTTTTGTATCAAGCAGCGAAGCGAAAGCTGGTGATGAGCCGCGGCCTCGCTGGACCAGCTCGTAATGATGACGTTTCATGCCGTGGATGATGTGCGGCGGAGCGGCAGTGGAACCCAGCCCTTAGGCAAAGGAAATTTGTCATTAATTTGTTTATGCTGCATAGATGGAGAGCTGCACACTCTGGCTTATGGACTCTCGCCTACAGTGTAGTCGTACTGCTAGTGTACTGGCATTACAGAAGACACGAAAAACGAGAACATAACTATGGCGAGAAAGTAATTACTGGCTAAGAATTGCCCTAAGACTTACCGCTTCTCAGTGCTCCATACCAGGAAGTAGTACAATACCTACTCCCTGCTCCATACGAGTGTTTTCTCCTCATTCTCTGCATCCTTTACCCCAGGAGTCTCGTCCATTTAGCGGCTCAAATGCTTGAGCTCCGGATAGCGGAAAATAGCTCGTCGTCCATTAGCGGCTCTAATAGTACCTGGTCTGAAGTGTCGCAGTCTAGCAACTATGATTTTTTCCAGGAGGGTAAGGGTTGCAAATCCAAAGAGACCCTAAGCTTCGTCTATCAAACAAAACAATTGCCCTAAAAAATGGAAGAGGAAAAGAGTGAGCGAGCTGGTCTGAGCGCGCTACTTTTCAAAAAATAGAAGCTGAAAGCCATCAAAGTCAAAGCATTCTGGCTAGCGCGTTTGTGTATGTCACGAGCGCTAGTGCGCTAGTCGCAGCAAACGCTCGCAGGCCAGAGTTAGCGCTATTTGGGCTGTTTGCCGCACGCGGCAGCTGGATGGATCACGTGATCCAAGCTGACAAATAAGGTCCGATGGTTCAGCTACATTGAGCCACAAGCATTAGTATTACCCTAATGTGTTCAGCTCAGTGCAGTCCGCGATCCGCGGATCCGTGTTCGGATGTGCATGCGTGAGGAACTTCCTTCTTTGGAACTGCTTCTTGCATGAGCTGTTTCGGATATTTCGTCTCCTGGCCTGACTTATTTCGTTTCGGCGCTGCTGAGACCTCCTTTCGCGGAATATTACTCAATGACAGGTGAGTTGACCAGTTTCCTTTGATTCATTTGCTTGTGTTCACTCTTTCATTTACGAAAAGTGTGCTGATCGTTTTTTTTTGTTTGGGCGGAATGCAATAAATAATGGAAAAGCTGACAGGATCTCTTTTCTCAATTTAGCTTTTCCGCTGCCGAGGCATCCTTTTACGGAATGCTCGATGAAAGGTCATCTCTGAGTTGACCGGTTTCCTTCGATTCATGTGCTTATGCTCGCCCTTTCATTTACGGAAACGTGTGCTGATTTTATTCGGATTTAGATCCATTTTATCTCTTTGTCCTTGTCTACAGTGTGTGAAGAATGCGAGTTCACCTTCTTGACGGTAATGCTTATGTTAGATGTGTTGTCGAAATACTCATGTTCATTGCACATTGGTACGTACAAGTAAGGCACTGGTCAGTCGCATACTATCGTTGGCAGTTCCCAATCTGGCGGGAAAGGTTCCGAAGGACTCATTGACCGAGTTTGCCAAATAAATTCGCATATCAGGGAAAATCTCCATTGTGGAGAGGTTCAGTAACTTGTTTGCTTCATACGAAACAAGCCAATGGGTGCAGTCTCGTCTCGTGAAAATCTCGTACTTGTATGATTGGAATTGTTTACTCGGGTCTGGGCTGTTTGATTTGTGAGTACCGCCGAGATTGCACTGCCCCAATTAAAGTTTCGTGCCGCCAAAGCAAGAATTACGATCTGCAATCTGTTTGTAGTACCTGTAGCACCTGCAAGAATGTGCAGTACATGTATCGTACTTTCTCTGTTGCTGTTTCAGTTGCCGTCATGTTGCTAAAGAAATGTTCAGTAGAGAGGTTCTGCAAAACGAAAATTCGAACGAAGTTTCGCGACAGTCCTTGCGAAAGTGTGTACCAATGTTTGCACGAACTTTGCGTTCTGCACATTTTGTAGTTTGCGCGGACCAAGTGCACGTACGCCATGACCCGATCTCACGAAATTTCCTACGACAGTCATCTCGCGTTTCCTGCAAGTTTCGCGTCCAAAGTTGCGAAAGTTCCAGCGAAGTTTCGCACTTCATAATGTAGAGCGAAAGTTTGTACGCATTTTCGTTTTGCAGAACCTCTCTAGTGACTCATTTGTTTCATACGAGACGAGTCAATGAGTCGGTGTGGCTTAGAATCTTTCGCTGTAGAAGAAATCTATTCCTATGTCTATTGGAGAAATAATTGTATTCACTGGTTATAAAATAGGTTAAGACAAACTCACAGAATAAATACCATCGGCCCCTTGGTGTTCGTCCTAAAGAGGTTCGACTGGATATCATTCACACTCACCAAAAAATGTGTAAGATTTTATTATCATGGAGTGCCTTGTTTATCTCTCAGTACCTCCAACCATAGCCTTGCCCCTTTTAACCTCAGGATAGAAAGAAACCGCTTTCCACCCTGGACTTTGATGATCTGTCTGACAGGATTGGTTCGGCCCTCACTGAGACAGGACGGCATGTCACTGTTAGCACTGGCGTTGATGAACTCGTGGATAAATGGCACGGTAGCATTGGAGGTCTCCTTGATGACCTCGATCCATATGTGGTCAAGAACATAAAGCTACACAAGAAATCGCCTAAGCCATGGATCACTCCAGAGCTACGTTTTCTATTGGCACGTCGACAGTACCTCCATCGCCGAGCATGTAAGAAAGCGAGTGACCCAGCAGCTTTAGAAGAATATCGTCGAGTTCGGCGCGAGGGAACTTTAATGAGCAGGCGTCTCCGCTCCCAGTACTATCAACATCAATTCATGTCCGTCCGTAAACAGCCCAGGGGCCAATGGCAGTTACTCAATGGCCTGCTTCACAGACATACCAAGGACACTTTAGGAGGGACTGATCACATTGGTATCTCCCGCACATTTGCACAAACTGTTTCAGACCCCATTCGGACACACCTTCACTGCCCATCTGGTCCCCATCGCCAGACTTCTATGTTGGCTTTCTCGCAGCCTACGGTCACCGACGTTGTAAAGATCCTTCGTAATCTCAATGCACATAAAGCTCCCGGAGCAGACGGGTTGCCTCCAATCCTTTTCAAGTGATGGCAGGTTCCCTGTGTGCTCTTCTCAGGGCATCTATTGAGGAGAGTAAGTTTCCTGCGCTTTTCAAGCATGCATCCGTGAGAGCACTTTTCAAGGGCGGGGACCGCTCTGAACCGCGAAACTACCGACCTGTTTCACTTTTACCGATCGCTAGCAAAGTCCTCGAGAAGCACGTGTACAACCAATTAAGCCTTCTTCTGAGAGAGAATCCCGACATTATTCCACCCCAGCAATTTGCATACAGACGATATCACTCGTGTGAGGAGGCCCTGGCTGTTGCAATTGATAGCTGGATGAAAGATTTGGATAATGGGAAAGTTGTTGGCGTAGTGCTCGCTGATGTCAGGAAAGCGTTTGACAGCGTCAATCACCAGTTGCTGTTGAATGAGTTATTTGATTGTGGGATTGGTGACTCGGCTCTGGCATGGTTTAAAAGCTACCTGAGTGATCGAACGCAGCAGCTCATTGCACCAGAGGGCCTGCCACGCGTGCCATGTACGCAGGGTGTTCCGCAGGGGTCTGTTTTGGGACCTATCCTATTCAGCCTCTATGTCCGTGGTCTTCCCTCATGCGTCAACAGTTCCACAGTTCTGCAGTTTGCGGATGATGTTAATATGTATGCAGCTGGTGACTCTGCTGAGGAAGTCATCGGAGCTTTGAACGGAGATCTGGCCAAGCTGTCTGTCTACCTGGAAGAGAAGCGCATGACGCTGAACCCAGCAAAGACGAAGTTCCTCCTCCTTCACAGAAAGACAACAGCAGTGCCTGGTTCCGCCAGTGTCGTCATTGACGGCGTCCATGTTCTTCGAGCGCAGTCCGCACGCTATCTTGGCATTGTCATTGACGAGCACCTGACTTTTGGGCCACAAATTGACGGTTTGATTGGGTCTGTCAACAGAAAACTCGGCGCCTGCCGCATGTCAAGACATCTCTTGCCATTCCACGCACGGCGTAGCTTTTACCTTAGTGTTATTCAGTCGTCATTGAAGTATGCAAGTAGCGCATACGTCCACACCCTCAGTTCTTACTATTTCCGGCTATGTAACAGGTGTCTAAGAATAGTTTTTGGTTTCGATAACTTTACCAGTGCCTCTCATATTCTTAGCCTATACAATCTCTCTCACATTTCTGTCCGAGTCAATTTGAAGCTTTTTATTCTTGTATTTCGCTCTGTCCATAGCGGCACATGTAGCTTCCTCCTAAAAGAAATTTTCCATACCCGCTCCTCCAGTGCACATACTACTGCCGTCACTAGGTCCCAAATCTCTTTTTCTCTGGCCTTGCCTTCTGCCCACACTAAAGCTGGTTTTTCTCGTCTTGGCTATATAGGTTCTGATCGGTGGAATATGCTGCCTTCCACTGTTCGCTCTTGTACAGATTATCGCCCATTTGTTCGTTCATGCTTAACCTTTCTAGGGGCTCCCGTAAGAAGACCATAGGTCTGTGGGAAACACCCTAGTAAAATAAATAAAATAATAATAATAATAATTTTAGAATTGTGATCAACAGAACGAGCTGAACCGACATTTTCACAAAGGCTTCTATTGTATTCAAAAAACGAGTGGATACGAAGGCAGTGAAGAACATGGAAGAAAGAAAAAATGTGATATGGAAGAAATGATGAACAAAAAAATGTACTTCGAACTAGTTTTCGCACAACACTCCTCAGGAAGCTACGTTGTACTAATGAAAAACAATCCAGAAAGATACTAATAAAGAGAAATGGAGTGAGAAGAAACAACACCTATGAAAATGTTAATCCTAGCACTAAGGTAATAACAGGAAAAACTGCGAAAGCACTTAACAAACTTGTAAGGACTACTAGTATACTGTGACACAAGATATGACACCATGGCCAACCAGAGCCAAACAGACAGAACAAGTTGCTACTAAAACAATTTCAAACGAATAATGCTGTCCTTCTGGACACACAGATTAGGCTTATGAATACGTTGACAAACGGCTTCTAACACACTCAACTGCAACTTATAACCATGACGAGCACGGCACAAAACAGAAAAAGAAGAATCAGAATAAACCTTACAGCAATCAGGACGAGATGCAAGATGCTTATACACTGATGACTTCCTACTAGAAAACACACGCTCGCACCCACTCTTACTCACACGATCATTCTCGCTCTCACACTCACCGGAATCACTGGACTCACTGGCCGAATCCTCCTCAACGACTTCCTGCCTCGGAGCAATCAGGTCCCGTCTCCTCCCATCCCTCGTCTCACGTTCCTGTTGTGTATTCCGTTGGCTCGGTACTTCCGTTCTGAAATAGGTCAAGGTGTAATTAGCAGTTGTTCTTCTGGGTCTCGTTGATATTGCGGTAGGTATTGCTGTCGTCTCTGCCGGTGATGCAGCAAGCGATGCTGATGCAAACGTGTCTGCATGCAACACACGTGGCGTCGCCAAAGCCACATCCACCTCCGCTGGTGGAGGGAGTGACTTGGTCATGGCCACGGGAGCCAATGGTGGACTTGTCGAGTGAGACGCTAGGT